TACAGGACCATTATATGATCGATCTATCACCCTCTCACCAAGTGACGTTCCAAGCTACAGGACCATTATATGATCGATCTATCACCCTCTCACCAAGTGACGTTCCAAGCTACAGGACCATTATATGGTCGATCTATCACCCTCTCAGCAAGTGACGTTCCAAGCTACAGGACCATTATATGGTCGATCTATCACCCTCTGAGCAAGTGACGTTCCAAGCTACAGGACCATTATATGGTCGATCTATCACCCTCTCAGCAAGTGACGTTCCAAGCTACAGGACCATTACATGATCGATCTATCACCCTCTCACCAAGTGACGTTCCAAGCTACAGGACCATTATATTCAACACAGAGTATCGTCAGACAGCAATCATTTATTGGAAAACATTTTACACTTCCTTAATAAAAATTCCCGTTATGCTCAAAATGTGTCAATACAATTTTTGTTGTCTTGTAGTAGTGTTACTTCCTAGCAAATACCAATACAATAGTTATATATTAAACACAATAACAAAGTTTCAATTACATATAAATTTAATATCTATAAAAACAGTAGATTTAAGCATCGTTTTTAAACGCAGGTAGTATTTTGAAAGTTAATAATAGTATTTGCAGCTGAAACTTAGTGAGTTGGAAGTAGGCTCGAAACATTACCATAGTGTTGTTTGGGGCAACGTTTTGAAAACCTTTCGCTCAGCCCATCACAATTTACAATAAATGTTATTCCTATTGCCTTCTCTTGGGTGTCTAATACATAACTGCTTTCAGATTCATCTTATAATAGATCATTCTTATAAAAATGTTAATTATTTTTCACTATAATTTTCTTTAATTTTATTATTGTTCGAAATTGTTGCAACTTTTTTAAATTTGGTTAGTAAAAAATAAAAGATAATCTCTCATAGTGCGGACTGAAAATGGCACCTATTGATATGCCACTAATTTTGTTTTAAAGCTGCTTTAGTTATTAAAAATGAACAAGCTTAAATAACTGCTTTCTGGCATCAAGTTACCAGTTTATTTATTATCCGTCAGGGGAGCTAGTATATCAGTACTAAAGTTAGCGTGTAGGAGTATAGATGTCAGAAATGGGATTTTTATTTGTCAAATATTTTTAGAACTTAAATAATTCCTACTTAATTTTAATAATCCAGCCTATAATGTTGTTGTTTTAGTGAAGTATTATTTCAAATGATACTCATTAAAATATCAATAATCTTCTAGACAAGATAAATACGTCTTTGCTAATTAAAATTACAAAATCTTTCATAAATCTTAATTTTAAAGAAAGAATATGTGGGCCTTTGAAAACCAGTAAACATACAATGAATTATCGAAGTGGCTGAGATTTTAGAAATAACATTGTAAGAAAAATGCTTGGTTATTTCTTCTACATTTTCACAACATTAGCACTGGTAATTTCCTGTTTTATATTAAAGAGAATAAACGTTTGTAAAATAAAATTATAATCTCACTTAAAAACAAGTGATCTGATTTTTAAAGAATTTTATTTACTGATTTTAAAGCGAGAGGATTGAGGGCATGATCAACTCATTTTCCTTTAAAGATTAAGTTTTTTTTGTTATAGAGCAAAGCCACGGTGGGATATCTGATGTTTCCACCGCGAGGAATCGAACTCTCGATTTTAACGTTGTAAGTCTGTAGACTTACCGCTGTCCCTGCGGGAATTTCTTGAAAAGGAGCTCGTTTGGTAACTTGTTTTATGAATGTAAACATTAATTTTATGATCGATGAATTGTATAATAATTGTATAATAAGGCGCTTATTTTAAGACCCGTGGACGCGAAAAAGTAAGATATTTTACAAAGAATTTGGGCGAAAACAAATTATGAAACATATAATCGAAAAAACGCATAAAGCGCAAAAGTGATTATTAGTAAACAGTTTAGCTACATTAGTTGAGCTGATTTCAACACAGCATAGTAATTATTAGTAAACAGTTTAGCTACATTAGTTGAGCTGATTTCAACACAGCATAGTAATTATTAGTAAACAGTTTAGCTACATTAGTGAGCTGATTCACACAGCATAGTAATTATCAGTAAACAGTTTAGCTACATTAGTTGAGCTGATTTCAACATAACATCGTAATTATTAGTAAACAGTTTAGCTACATTAGTTGAGCTGATTTCAACACAACTTTCAGATTTTCAATCGGATACCAGGAATCATGGAAACAGTAATAACTGGCAGAGTATGTGATAAACACAAAAAACGAAAGAAAGGAACATGCCATATTTGCCATGTTTGTCGTCTTTATGATCCATTACTACCATGTATCGTACATACGATGCATATTAACTGCAATAGAAAGCGTAAAAGTAGACAGTTGTCAAATTAGTAATAATAATAAAAAAAAAAGGCACGGCCATATCAGGGCCGAGTTTTTCGCAGCGCCGGGTCTTAAATTTTGTTCCAGTGTAACTTTTGTCTTAACTTAAAAACTTCTTCAATTTTAACTTTTATTACAATACGTAACCTGTTTCGATATAACCATGAAAATTATCAGTGAGTAGGCTATTTTTGTAAGTTACATAGGAGTTTTTTGGTTTAACAAAGTTTTAAATATCAACTGATTGCGTAGTTGTACTGTACAAGCGTTTCGGAAATAGATTTGTAAGGAGAAGAAGAAACAGGATGGTCAGTTTTAGTGATTTTGTGTTAAAAATTAATAACCTTATTTTAGCAAAACAATATTATGTTATTTATGGAAAACTAAAGCATCGTGTTTGACTTGAAATTAAAAATTTAGACTTTTGTTTTGTGGTCCGAAAACAAATTTGTCATTGAGTATAATAGTTATTTGTTGTTTATTATTTGTATTTCCTCTGTATTAGGTTTAATGGTACAATCTCTATAAATACGATTGAAATTTTTAGTAACGATTACCGAGAAGCATTGAGACTTTCGTTCAGTTTGGCCTGATGGTCAGGACGCTGAACTCGCGATTTGTAGGTCGCGGGTTCGAACCTCTTCACCAACATGATCGCCCATTATAATGTGACGGTTAATCTTACTACTCTATTAGAGTAGCGTAAGAGATGACGGTGGATGGCGTGGACTAGTTGTTTATCTCTAGTTTGTTACTTCTAAATTAGGGAAGGCTAGCCAATTAGCCCTCGAGTAGCTTTGCTCGAAATTCAACAAATAAGCAAGAACGTTCAGTCTTTAACACCACAGTGTTTTATGAGCAAGCATAATCCATTTAATTTTCAGCTTAACGTTTTGATCTACAACTGAACCCCCCCCCCCCCCAGTGTCACAGCGGTATGTCTTCGGATTTACAACTCTAGCAACCGGGTTTCTATACCCGTGGTTAGCTGAGCACAGATATCCCATTGTATAGCTTTGTGCTTAATTAAATACAAACAAATACAACTGAAATTTTAGCTTCTGGAATTGAATATTACTAAAAACAGGTAAAATAGGCCGACTTCAGCTTCATATATCCATATATTCCTGACACCATGCTGGCATTTTGTGGATATCCTTATTAACATACAAAAAGCAAACTTTTCTCCAATGAGGGCTTTTCTTATGTAGATAATGATACTAAACACAGCTTAAACCTAAATAATATTCATAAAATGCATTGTTTTATGTGTGTGTGTGTGTTGTATATTCCAACTAAACATACATGAGATACAACAATCTACACAGTTCAAAACACATTAGTTGTCATGGTTTCAAATGATTGGTGTTAATGTTTTGAATGGGTAAGCACATAACAGCCATCTTGAAACTACAAGGTCAGCGATGCAATGTATGGCAGCTTGAACTTAAACACGGAGGAAAGCTTACAATAATTAGAAATATAATACACAGAAACTTTGAGGAGGGATAATTTTAGGATCAGCATATCGTAGAAAAAAATTATTACAGAAGTAATTTTGCTGTAATAATAACGACAATATTTGAATATTTGTCCATATTATTAATGTTCATCGCTATATTTAAAAAGCTAAAGTTACCAGGTTTCGAACATTTCAGAGAAGGATATTAAAGGCTGTGTTTACAGCAAGTTCTATTAGCTGGAGTTAATGTACAATGTTTTTCTAGTTTTACTTCTTTAGATGCTTTAACCCTAGTTTGATAGATGAACAAACAAGAGAGAGGACGCAAGAATATAAAGATGTAGGTTTCAGAAAAAGGCCAATGACTGATGCAACGCTCTATGTTGCCAACTCCATTTCCTGGCAGGAAGTCCATATGTCTGTTTCATCCAATAACAGTGGTAGGGTTTCTTCAACTAGACAGTAAACAGTTGTGACCACTCTAACTTTTTTAACACGATAGACAATCTTTAAGGAAAAAAGAACAATGTTTGTAGGAAGAATAATTATCTTACTTGTGTAGTTTGACCCTTATATCTTGGTTCAGTCTTATAGTATAGTGTATTTCAATTCTTTACAGTTAAGCCTATTATCTTAGTGCGATAGACGTGCTGTTAAGGCTGGAAGTTAGAATTCAGGACGATGTACAGGCCATAATACTAACAATTCAACCGATTTTATTTCATTGGTGATTATCTAGGGATAACAAATGTTCTTCTTAAGTTAGTTTATTAATAAAACCGTTGTGAACATCCTTCTTATAGTTCTTTTTGCTATAAATTTTGGGTTAAAACTTCGTAGCTTTGACGAACTCAGTTTACACTTAACAGTACCTTATATATATATTCAGAGCAGGAAGTACGCGCTACAATGACTGGAAATTATATTTTTCTTGTGTTAAACGTCTATCATAGACAAAACGAAATTACTGTTTAAACTACTATTTTCATAAGTCATTTGAAACAGAATCTCTTATTTACTTGAAAAATACAGTTTAATTTTCACATTGTATGAGAAAACAAACTTAAAAATTTATATTTAATAATAACATAGTTGATTATACAATGAATTTCAGACGCCTTAAAGGTAGGATATGAAAAAACGTATTTATTGTTATTGAAAGACGTTTGTTTCTATCAGTCAGAACATTACAGAAGTTACACTGTATCGTTTGTTTCAGTACTATATATGTTAATTGAAACATTTTCTTTCTTAAGTTATGGAAAATACACTGTCGTCTCTAAAACATCTTTGCTTAAAAACTGGACTTTTAAGAATAACATACAAAAAGCTTCACATTTAAAAGCTCTAGTGCAATTGAATCAAATAAGAACATTTTTTGAAATATTTAAAATATCATAGAGGACCACACATTTTGTAGTGATACCAGAAGTAACTTCCAATGCCGGAATGATAAAATTTTGAGTATCTACAATGAAAATCTTTGAAATATATCTACAAAAAAAAGCTCTAGTCATTAGAACTTATTTTTATCAAAATGAATAGCATATTAGCTCAGCATTTTCAGCAGAGTATCCTAAAAAAGTTTAATTTTGTCATTAGCGTTGTTCTTGTACTTCGAAAAATTCAGAAAAGGGTATTTTAAAACAGGTTCATTACTCATGTAATCCTTGTGAATTTGATATCCTGAACAAAGTTACTTGTGCATCATTTGTAAATGACTGAAATCCATCCCGTTCACTCTAAGTTATTATTGATACGGGTTTAAAAGGTGGTAATTACTTTAGTGAGTGTTTTTATGTAAATCGTTATGTACAGTAAGAATCTCTAGAAGGATTTAAATAATAATAGCTGTAGCCCTAAGTTTTACATTTTACAGTATAATATATAATTTGGGTACCAATAGAAACATTTGCTTGCCATTTTTCAATTTCGAATTTTGATACATAACTGTAAAAGAGCAGTTTTATTTCTGTCTTATAAATGTCCCAATGTCAACCTGTTTAGTTAGTGTTACACGTCTTAGCTACACGGTAAAGTCAACACGTGGACTGGGCTTTCTATGGATTTCTTCCTCCGTTTGTCTTCGTTTCGGGACCACGTTTCGAGCTCCATGCTGAGAACAAGTCTGTAATTCGTGAACAAAAGTCCAAGATAAGAGAGAGGGAGTTAACGTTTTATAAATAAAACACTCACTATGTGTAAAAAAAAAAAGTCCAACTTCTTTCAGGAAATGGTACTAGTAACTTTTCCAACTTCTTTCAGGAAATGGTACTTGTAACTTAAAAAGTGAGAGAGTTTATATTTATGCATATATACGTGTGTTTGTGTGTATTTGTATATTTTAAAACTTTATTTCAAAAGTGTGCTCACAGTAAGTGTGTTCAGTAATATTATATCATCATAAATTTACTAAAGCAGAGTGAAACAAACAGAACTAGCTACAGTTAGGGTACAGCTACTTCATTACTAAATAAAACGTTCTACTCTGATTTATAAATATTAAATTTATGGAATTACTTTACGTTGTATGTCGTATCTCGTGAACACTCAGTCAAACATCTTATTATAACGGAGCTTGCGATGTATACGTACAAAACTCGGATCTCGGAAACTACAGTAACGATCATCACCAATCATAACTGGGTAATATTTTTTATAACTAGGCAGTATTTTTTATAGCTGAGCAATAAATAAAACAATTGAAATTTCCAGAGAAATGGTGTTTCAGATTTAACCAATAAATATTAA